CTGTCATTTTGGACCGTTTGCTGCTACCTGCCAGGTATGTGACTCAATCTTGTCTAAACCTCCACCTTTCAGAAATGGGATGCAGAAAATGAGGGCTGAGGAGATAGCACAGCATGGGTTAGTACCGTCTTATCAGCTGAACCTGGCTGCAGGATAAGGATGTCAGTGTGACCGAGGGGAGATGCCTGTTCTGGCAGCTCCACCTGAAGAGGAAGGATTCAGACACATCCCATTTTCCCCTCAAGTCATATGAAGCCTCACTGAAGATCTCTCCTTGGGGAAATTCATCTCCCTTAGAGACCAGGGGTGTAAATACTCTTGTGGACCTATTGAAATAAAACCAAAGCAATCCAGGGAGCACTAATTAGCAGTTTGCAGAGGGCAAAGCATTGCCGTGGGTGCTGTAAGAGGAGAGGGTGCAAGAATGCAAAAGTCTTACCCCTGGGGGCTTAAAGCTTAGGACACAGGGAATGAGAGAGGGGCAAAGCACACACAGCCCAAGCCTACAAAAGCAGCAAAAGCAAAATAAAATAATGTTTAAAGAGAAACTCAAGAGTTGAAGGACTGCAAATCAAGAAAACATTAATGTTGTTCAGGAGTTGGAGATGCAGGAGGAGAAAACTGGAATGAAGCTGGAGTGTGGCCAGGTAAAAAATGAGAAGGAACAAAGAAAGAAGAGGGAGGATAAACTTGGGAGGAGGGTAGCAGCATTTCAGCAGCACTTCTTTGGCATTGGTGTGCATGACCCTTATATCTCCCTGTGTCTTCAGAGGCTCCCTGGAGAGCGGGGAGCGTGTTCCCCACCAGCAGAGCTTAACTCTAACTTAGGACCCCCTTTATAGCCATCCTTCCCCTCCCTGGGTCTGCCATCTTCCTCAAATCTGCAACCTGTCTAGTCTGTCACCTTTCCCCAGCAAAACCTCCCCATCAGAAAAGAAAGCTGAAATCCATTTCCACTGTGATGTGAATAGCTGCGATCAGAAGGGGTTTCCCCTCAGAGGGGTAAGGATCAGAGCATTTCAACTGCTGAGGGAGGTTGTAAAAGGCAAACTTCTGGCAGCAAATGGGGAGGAGCATGCTCTTTAGAACAGGAAGGGAGCATTCAGCCCCTCTGATTTCCCTTCAAGAATTCACCAGACAGCCCCCCTCCAATTAAAGGAGTTAAAATCAGCTCCTTGGGTGTTGGAAGCAAAGGTACTATGGGGCATGACCTCCTGCTGGAGAAGATGCTGTTGACAAGGTCTGAGGGAAACACTCGTTTTAAGCTGTTTTATCAGAAGTGGTTTTGTTTGTATTCATTTATTTATTGGTTAGTCTTGCGGCTGACATCTGGGGACTCAAGCCACTTCTTCAATTGCCGTGAGATGCTGTCAGGGTGAGTGCTGCAGTCTGTGACCAGATGATCCCTAACAGGGGTTGTGACTTGGGGGATAGGAGAACTGAGGTGCACCCAGCCTTGACACGACCCTGCTGGTGAGGAAGCTTCGTCCAGAGAAGTGCGGAGCTTAGGAGGAACTCCCCCAACTCCACCACCTTCCAGTCATGTGTGCGGGGCAAGTCACTTAGCCTCCCTCTGCTTCAGTTTCCTTGTCTGTACCTTGGTCCTATAATAATAGTAATAATACTTCTGATATAGGAAAGTCCTGGGTAGATAGTAAGCACTCAATTCATATTAGTTTTTATTATTGTGGACACATGCATGTATGTATGTGTGTTTGTGACCTCTTCCATCTGCAGCCTCAGTGACTAAAATCACAAGAGTGTATCACAACAGAGAACTGCAGTCCTGATAGTAATTCCAGGGTCTGGAACGCACGGACTGACTGATAGATGGCAGCTTCCTCCTTCCCCAGGAATATGGGACCTTGAATACTGATCCTGCTGTGAGGTGCCCCTTCCCCCAGCTGTGGGCCTATCTAATGCCCTGTTGCGGCCTTGGGAACACCCAAGTTGTTCCTAGCACAAGTCTTGACTAATTCCTCAGAGTCTGGCCAGTCCGTATGGATCCATAAACACCCTCTGAGCCCCTCTAGTTTTGGAAGGCATTAATTGGTGCTGATGTATTCTTAGAGCTTCACATTCATAGGGCTCTATGGCCTTTGCTCCCAGTTGGTGGGCCTGTTGCAGACACATTCCTGCTGTCAGCCAAAAGGGTGAAAGGCTAGACTGCCCAGCCTGAGCCTGGACTCTGGTCCAGGGCGTCTGTTCTGCTGGTTATTGTGTGATCATATTCCAATAGCTGCTGGCTATCAAAGCAGCCAGGCCCCCTTGAAAGGGGACTCTAACCTCCTTCCTTAGGGAACCCTTCTGATGCATGAATGGAGGCTCCCCAACTTAGCCTCTGCTTTCCATGAGGCAAGGCCCACTGACTCACAGGCCATCGCCCCTCCCTCTGGCAGTGGTGCTGTCAGCCCAGGTCCTTCCAGCACAGAGGTCATTCATGTTGCCTGCCTTCCATTAACTTACCTGCACACCTTCTCAGACCTTCTTCTGCTATGTGACCAGCAGTTTTAAAGTCTTTCACATACTGTTAGCTTTTTTTTTCATTGTCAACTCTTTTATTCTAAGAATTTTGACAGGTTAGGTAAATTAATCAATTGAAAAAGAAGAAAAAAAAATCACGGCCTGAATAGTTGCAGAAAAATAATTTACTAAAGCTTAATATGGTTTTCTCTCAGCTTTATGAAGTATGATTGACAAAAATGGTATACATTATTTATTTTTTAAACATATTTATTTACTTGGCTGTGTTGGGTCTTAGCTGTGGCATACAGGATCTTTAGTTGTGGCACGTTAAAGTTTAGTCACGGCATGTGGGATCTAGTTCCCTGACCAGGGATTGAACCTGGGTCCCCTGCATTGGCAGTGGAAAATCCTATATACAGGATCACCAGGGAAGCCCCCCAAATTGTATATATTTGTACCATATGATATCTTGATAACTGCCTTCATTGTGAAATAATAATCACAACCAAACTAATTAACATATCTACCATCTCACATAGTTATCTTTTTTGTTTGTTCTGAGAACACTAAAACTTTAATCTTAGCAAAATTTAAGTATACAATACAGTATTATTAATTATGATCACCGTGCTATACATTAGATCTTCAGAACTGATTCATCTTATAACTGAAAGCTTGTACAATTTGACCAACATGTACCACATTCCCCCATTCTCTTCCCCCGCTAACCATCATTCAACTCTTTGAATTCAACTTCTTTTTTTTACTGTAAGCTTTCATATGTAGAATGGATAAACAAAATCTTACTGTATAGCATAGAGAACTGTATTCAATATCCTGCGATAAACCATAATGAAAATATTTTTAAAAAAGAAAGTGGATCGAACTTGGGTCTCCTGCATTGCAGGAAGATTCTTTACCATCTGAGCCACCAGGGAAGTCTCTATAACCCAAACTGTGTGTGTGTTAGTCACTCAGTCATGTCCAACTCTGTGATCTCATGGACTGCAGCCCACCAGGCTTCTCTGTCCCTCATATTCTCCAGGCAAGAATATTGTGTGGGTAGCCATTCCTTTCTCTAGGGGATCTTCCCAACCCAGGTATCAAACCCAGGTCTCCCCACATTGCAGGCAGATTCTTTACCATCTGAACCACCAGGGAAGCCCAACACAAACCATAATGGAAATAAATATTTTTTTAAAAAAGAATGGATCACTTAACTGTACAGCAGTAGTTAAAACATTGTAAATCAACTACACAATAAAAAAAGAACTAAAGTCCTTCATGTAAACCCTGCTGGTGATATTACCAATGGTGTGGCTGGGGCTCTGTAGCCACAAGACCCCAGGAACAGCTGCCACCTCACAGGTCTGTGGGAAAAGGAAAACCAAACAGTGGAGTGGGATGGCAGACAGAGGGAGAGGGGAGACTGGGGAAGCTAGAGAGTAGAAACTGCCATGGGCCTTTCTGCTCTGGGATGCTATGATGGAGTGAAAGGAGAGGGATGTAGCCTCTAGAAGAAGATGGGGAGCAGAAAGCAGATGTTTGGAAGTTGAAGGCAGAGGGAGGAGCTGATTTTTCTTTAAAGAGCATCCATCTCACCTTGGAGACTTAACAGCCCTCTGAGTTGGATTGGTTTCTTCCATTGTTCAAGTGAAAAAATTAAGGTTCAGCGAGTTACATAATCTGCCTAAAGTCCCACAACTAAATAGAGGAGAAATATGGGGAGACTTGTATATTTCCCAAGATGAATCAGCTACCTTGATTCTCATATTCTCAGGCTCTATGATTCTCATATTACATTACCACAGCTCCCCAAGGGGCATCAGGAGTGAGGAGGGAACAGCCCTTGCTTGAACTGGGGCTGGATGGGTATGGGGAGGGATCGATGAGACAGCCCCATCGCTGTGGTCTTAAAGATGTTATTGACTCAGTGACAGTCACCAACTGACCTCCTGGGAACTCCACCTGAGGTCTCAGGGCTGGAAAAAGGTGTCCTAGGTGTGGCTGGAGTTAAAAGGCAGCTAGGTGTGCATGCCAGTTAGGAAAGTGCACTGTGTTTGTTCCTCTGTTTTGTGGACCTGATGTTCCAGGTCAAAGGGAATCAGGAACAGGTTTGGGCAGAGAAAAGGAAAACGCATCTGAGAGTTCTTATAGATTTCCCTTTGTTTGGGCCAAGTCACTGAAACCTAACTCAGCTCCCACACAATGCATGGCTCTATTCCTGGCTCTAAACAATGCAAAACTCAGAAGCTGCTTCCTCTGGGACCCTTTGACCCTGTCCTCTTGGACGACTGTGAGTCCAAGCAAGGGTCAACACCACTACAAGCAATGCTGCCTGTTAAAATTAGAAGCAACTCTCACATCTGGCTATGACTGAAAAGAAGCCAGGCACTGGAGCTTGCAAGTACCTGAAAAAAATAGACTTGAGGCAGTAACAGATGTCAGGCCTGATACGTGGAGTTCTAACTCTACTGCATCACTCCGCATGTCTTTATCCCTCTGCAGGTGGCCCCCACTGCTGTGGAAAAGTGATGGATTTCTCAGTCTGCCTGAACTCCTACCAGAGAGGACATCTGCCCAGCAGTCTCTTCTTCCTCACTCACCTGCTCCTCCTCCTCCAGCCCAGGGCAATGCGCTCAGGTAGCATGTCTAATCTGCATCCCAGATAGCCAGGACCTCAGTGAGCACATCAGCTTCTGCTCACCCCTTCTGCAGGTTATTCCAGGACTGAGATCTTGCAGCCTTTTCCTAGGCTGTCTCAGGTGCTAAAAAATAAGCCCTCCATCCCAGTTGTTAAAGAGTCACTGACCCTGAGCACCATCCAGCCCCTCAGTGCTCCTCCACCATCCTTTCAGGGTCCCCCCAACCCCAACAACTCCACAGCTCACAACCATGGCAGAAGGCATGGAGGGAGGGTGCCAGGAAAGTCTTATTGGTCTGTACTTAGGCTGAACCGTTGGAAAATATTTTTAACTCCTCTCCTGTGATATAAGCCATAGCTTTTGAAGAGCAGAAAGGATCCTGGTCATACCATCTCTCATGAAAGAAGCAACTAACAGAGAATGTAAACTAATTATGCAAATAGAATTCCCCAACTCCCTGAGCTGGAAACCAGGGATACCAAAGTGATAGACAATGCACAGCCCAAATTCTCAGTCAGTTCAAGGAAGGTGAACAGACATGATATACATGACTGTCCAGCTGTGTGACCAGAGTTGCAAGAGAAACGTACCCAAGGATCTGGGATCACAGCTAAGAGACCAATTTGTTTTTTCCAGAAAGCCAAGAAGGGCCATAGAGAGGAGGTACTGTATGAGACAGGAGACAATCTGTATGAAGATGAGAGATGGAGAGTAAACTGAGGCAGGGTATGTCCAGGAAAAGGGCCAGGCATCAGGCATGGGAGCAGAGACAGCTGGAGAGAACCTGAAGAGGGAAGCTGGTAGGAGCGGTGTCCAGGCTACACCCAGTAGGCAAGAAGGGGTCTCATATGGAGAGAAGAAAGGTGCTCCCATGCTAGATGGGCAAAGTGAAGGATGGGAGGAATTCATAAAGGAAGAATTGGGGGTGGGATTAAGCTAGCTTTGAAAGAAGGAAAGGAGGGGCACAGAAGCCAGAAAAAAACGATGAAGGCATGCTGGGTGAAAAGGCATCGCAGCAGGAACAGCAACTCTCATGGAAATTGCAGAAAACAGGGAGTAAAGCAGCCATGTGGAGACATCACTGCAGAGGACAATCAAATGAAAGATCCAGATAAATAAAAATCTCAACAGCAGGGTTTGATCTTAGATAGGAAAACCCATGAGGCAAGAAGCACCCCCACCGATTATTTTAATATTCTTTGTTATTATAGAAGCTGTGTGTGTACATTATAAAATATTAGAAAATCAGACAAAGCAAAAATAAGAAAACATCTATTTGCACCATGCAGAAATGACCACCATCAGTAATTTGGTCTTTCTTCTTTCAGATCTTTTATTCTGCACATTTATGCAAATACATCCATTTTTATTCACATAAGAGGATAGTGTACATTTTTTTTCTGCCAAAGATTCCATTTAATTTAATGCCCTGGCCATATTGAGACAACCGTCCCCTGAATAATATTGGCAGCTGGTTGGTTCAAACCAGCTACCAGTAGCCCACCACACATTTGTATCTGGTTGTAATGTGTTTTGTGTAGTTTTTAACGTAGCATATCCGACTATTTCATGACAATTACTTGTTCAAGAAACGGGATTGGTTGTCCTGTAGAGTGTTTGACCTTTGTCATTTGAATAGTTCACTGTGGATTTCTGAGCTGCAAAAAACAAACTTATTTTTGAGGCATTAAATTACATGGAACTGTTGGCAAAACAAAAACAAAAAACCACAAAACATATGTACACTATCTTATTTGAGGAAAGTTAATCTGGGCCACTGTCTGGGATCTTGTCCTAGAGGAGATCAGGGTGGTAGGCCATGAGGAACCCATTCTGGCACACGTCGGGGATGAAGTGGAATTCTCCTGCCACCTGTCACCATATCACGACGCCGAGCACATGGAGATCCTCTGGTTCCGGAGCCAGGCCTCGAACGTGGTGCACTTGTACCGGGAGCAGCAGGAGCTCTATGGCTGGCAGATGAAGCAGTTCCAGAACAGGACCCAACTCATCACGGATGATATCGCAGACGGCAGCGTGACTCTGCGGCTCCGCCGCGTGGTCCCCGCCGACGAGGGTCTGTATGGGTGCCGCTTCTTCTCCAGCGACTTCACTGGGGAAGCGACCTGGGAGCTGGAGGTAGCAGGTGCGTGAGGGGAGAAGGATCCATTTGGAAAGAGCTCAAGAGAAGATAGATTGAAAAGCACAGAGAAAGAAAATTTTCTCTAATTAAAAAAAAAGAGTATTAAAAAAGATTCATTAGGAAATGAACCCCCCAAATGCACACATAATGGCCCTTAAACAAATGAAAAGACAATTATTTTACTCACAGTGAGGAAAAGGCAAATTAAAACTACAGAGAGGTAATTTTTCCCTATCAGACTGACAAACATTCAATAGTTGGACTACCCACTCGATGGAGGAAGCAGGCCCCTTCTTACCATGCTGATGGAATTCAAAGTCCTGAGCTCCAGAGTAGGGGGGATTTGGCAATAGCTAACAGGACTTCCTTTGTGTCTGCCTTTGAACAGCAATTCCACTTCTGGGAATTGACCCTGGAGATATACCTCCCCCAACTCCAATAAGAAAGAAAGGCATTTGTATAAATTTACATTGTATAGCAGTGCTGCTGCTGTTCAGTCCCTAAAGTCATGTCCAACTTTTTGTGACCACATGACCTACAGCACATGAGGCTCCTCTGTCCTCAAATTCACGTCCATTGATTCATTGATGTCCTATAACCAACTCATCTTGTACCACCCCCTTCTCTTCCTGCCTTCAGTCTTTCCCAGCATCAGGGTTTTTCCAATGAGTCGGCTCCTAGCATCAGGTGGCCAAAGTATTGGAGCTTTAGCTTCAGCTTCAGTTCTTCCAACGAGTACTTAAGGTTGATGGGAAACTCCCCAAATGTCCAAGCATGTGCTGAGTAAGGTCTATATGTAGCTATGTAGCCTAAAAAAAAGAGAGAGAGAGAGAGAAAATGAGGATGAGCACTAAGCTGATGTGGAGTGATTTCTAGGGTGTTTTTAAGAGAAAAAAGCAAGACACAAAAGAAGCTCTATAGCATATTAATTTTTGTGTAAGAAAGGAGGAGAAACATATCACAAAAGAAACACAGGAAGCTAATGAAATTGGTTACTTAAAGGAGAGGGAGCAATGAGATGCAAAGGATGGAGGAAGGCCGGGGCTTTTTTGATCTACTCTTTTTATAACATTGATGTTTAAACCATATTAATATTTTGCATATTCAAAATATAAAGCTAGGTTACTTGGGTAGAGATATTTTTAAAAGTATGCATAACAAAGATACTTTAGTTCTGGCGGGATTCAAGAGACAGAGAAGACAATCTATTGAAATTTGGGATGGGATTACTCTTCAACCTAGGGGGACGGTCCCTTGCATTATATGGCTTAATACCAGCAGCCTTTCCCTATTTTAAGATGCCCTTCAGAGGTAGTGCTGTCCCCACATGCCATCTACAGTTTAGCCTGTCATTTATAGTCCATGGTGGACTGCAAGCCCACATATGTTGAGTGGTCACAGTCACCATGTCTTATGGTGACTGCAAATGGTGAATGGTGGCGAACTTCATGTACATCTCGGAAAGAGCCTGATCTTTCCTACTCTTCCTGCCTCTCCCAGGACTGGGCTCAGACCCTCATATCTCCATTGAGGGATTCAAGGAGGGAGGCATTGAGCTAAGGTGCCACTCCAGTGGTTGGTACCCCAAGCCACAGGCTCAGTGGAGAGACCATCAAGGACGATGCCTGCCCCCTGAGACTGAAAACATCACTGAGGATGTCCAAGGCCTGTTCAGTCTGGAAACATCTGTGGTCGTCCAAGAGGGGGCCCACAGCAACGTGTCCTGCTCCATCCAGAACCATCTCCTAGGCCAAAAGAAAGAGTTTGTGATCCACATAGCAGGTCAGTGGGTGCCAGCTCACCCTCATCTTCTTAGTCTTCAAGTTCTCCATGTCCATTATCCCTATGTGTGTGTGTGCTCAGTCACTTCAATCACGTTTGACTCTTTACAACCCCTTGGACTGTAACCTGCCAGGCTCTTCTGTCCATGGAATTCTCCAGGCAAGAATACTGGAGTGGGTTGCCATGTCCTCCTCCAGGCCATTATCCCCAAACCATCTATTAGGACACAGGGGCTCTGGAGCTTGGTTGCGTACAGGGCAGGCTGAACTTGACACCTGAAGCCATAATATTTAAAACCTACTAAGAGTACAGTAATTGGGGGAGGTTCCAGAAAGCCAATATTATTAGAGAGCATCAAAAGAACCCACATGTTCCTAATTTTATCCCTCAAACAATATTTATTGAGCACTCACAATATTCCCCAAACCCCTGCCCTCAGGTGCACATCCCATGGGGGAAACAGATACACAAAAGAGTAAATTATAGCACATGTTCAGAGGTGTTAGGTGATACAGAGAAACATGAAGCAGGTAAGAGTGCTAAGTATGGTGGGTTGTATATATATACATGGGTTTAAAAGTGGTGAATCAGGAAAGAAGACCGTTAGGCAATGAGTTGAAAGTGAGGCCATTATCTAGCATCAAAGTTTTATTATGAGGCCCCCACTGATGGATTTAATGTTCATAGGAATATATATGTGTGTGACACATAGTTCACCCAAAATTCACCTGGTAATTGGGTAACTGGTAACATCTGTGTTAGCTAATTGCCTTTATGCAAAGGAGAAAGATATCTCTTATCTCGATGACAAGCATGTAGCTACAACTTGGAGCCAGGTGCCTAAGTGAAACTCCCAGGAGGCCTGGAGATAGGAGTGCTTTCTTCTTGATGTTTCCATTTCAAAGAGATGGCTCTGAGCTCCTTAAGAAAATCATTCCTGGATTGTAAAGCTTGAAGGTCCTTATATAACTTTCAGAAAGATTTATATACATCTTGAAAGAAAGTGCGTGCTAAGTCACTTCAGTTGTGTCTGATTCCTTTTGACCCCATGAACTGTAGTCTGCTGGGCTCCTCTGTCCATGGGATTTTCCGAGTAAGAATACTGGAGTGGGTTGCCATTTCCTCCTCCAGGTGATCTTCCCGACCCAGGGACTGAACCCAGGTCTCTTGCATCTCCTGCACTGGCAGTCAGGTCCTTTTTTTTTTAACCAGTTTTTTAAAATTAATTAATTTATTTTAATTGGAGGATAATCACTTTACAATATTGTGATGTTTTTGCCACACATCAGCATGAATCAGCCACAGGTATACATGTATTCCCCCCATTCTGAACCCATCTCCCTCCCACCCTATCCCTCTGGTTGTCCCAGAGCACCAGCTTTGGGTGCCCTGCTTCATGCATCAAACTTGCACTGGTCATCTATTTTACATGTGGTAATGTACATGTTTCAGTGCTATTATCTCAAATCCCGCCCTCACCTTCTCCCATTGAGTCCAAAAGTTTGTTCTTTACATCTGTGTCTCCTGCATACAGGATCATCAGTACCATCTTTGTAAATTCCATATATATGCATTAATGTACAGTATTTGTTTTTTTGACTTCACTCTGTATAATAGGCTCCAGGTTCATCCACCTCATTAGAACCGACTCAAATGCATTCGTTTTATAGCTGAGTAATATTCCATTGTGTATATGTACCAAAATTTTTTTATGCATTCATCTACTGATGGACATCTAGGTTGCTTCCATGTCCTAGCTATTGTAAACAGTGCTGCAGTGAACGTGTGCAGGGTACGTGTGTCTCTTTCAATTCTGGTTTCCTCAGGTTTCCTCTGGTTTCCACTATGCCCAGTAGTGGGATTGCTGGGTCATATGGCAGTTATATTCCCATTTTTTTTAAAGGAATTTTCACACTATTCTCCATAGTGACTGTACCAGTTTGCATTCCCACCAACAGTGCAAGAGGGTTCCCTTTTCTCCACACCCTCTCCAGCATATATGGTTTGTAGACTTTTTGATGATGGCCATTCTGACTGGTATGAGATGATACCTCATTGTGGTTTTGATTTGGATTTCTCTAACAACGAGTGATGTTGAGTATCTTTTCATGTGTTTATTAGCTATTGGTATGTCTTCTTTGGAGAAATGTCTGTTTAGGTCTTTTGCCCACTTTTGATTGGGTTGTTCGTTTTTCTGGTATTGAGATGCATGAGCTGCTTGTATAGTTTGGAGATTAATTCTTTGTCAGTTATTTCATTTGCTATTATTTTCTCTCATTCTTTGGGCTGTCTTTTCACCTTGCTTATAGTTTCCTTCTTTGTGCAAAAGCTTTTAGGTTTAATTAGGTCCCATTTATTTATTTTTGTTTTTATTACCATTACTCTGGGAGATGGGTCATAGGGGATCTTGCTGTGATTTATGTTAGAGAGTGTTAGCAGTTGAGTTCTTTGCCACTAGTGTCACTTGGGAAGCACTTGAAGGGATAGAGAAAGAATTTATAAATTTTCTAAAGGACCAGTCTAAGAGAAGGGGAACGGGAATCTTGCTCACTTTTTTGCACAAATTTTTAAATTTGTATTTAACCTTGATAAAGGGTGCTGGTCACATGGATTTCTGCAAGGAGACCATTTAGGTAGAGGGAACAGCAAGTGCAAAGGTCCTGAGGTGGAAATGTGTGTGGAAATTGGAGGAGCTGAAAAGATGCAGGAAAGGCTGGAACAGAGAGCAGGATGGAGATCACAGATCATCAAGGCATAGGCCTCTGAGCTCTTTACCTCCTAGGTCAGTGCTTCAAAAACCATCTGTGGTGAAGGACCAGTCCTTTGTGGCTCAATACTTTTACCAAGATAATAAAAACGCACTGCTAAAAAAAGAAAATTAAAAACCAACCAAAACAACACATTATGTTAAGTGAAATAAAAATGAACACAAAGTGACAAATATTGTATGATTCTATTTATATGAGGTACCCAGCATTGTCAATTCATAGAGAGGAAAAGCAGAATAGAAGTTACCAGTGGCTGGGGTGGGAAGATTGGGGAGTTAGTGTTTAATGGGTACAGACTCTCAGTTTGGGACAATTAAAAAAAGTTCTGCTGGTGTTGGTAGCACAGCTATGTTGGTGTACTTTTTTATTTTTTATTTTATTTTTTTGGCCACGCCACATGGCTTGCAGGATCTTAGTTCCTCGACCAGGGATTGAACTCAGTGGACTGCCAGAGAATTTCCAGTGTTAATGTACTTAATGCCACTGAACTATAAACTTAAAATGGTTAAGATAGTAAATTTTATGTTATGTTTATTTTACTGCAATAAAAAAGAAAAAATGAAAGACCATTGAGATAAAAGCACCAATTTCTTTATCTTTAACAGACATAAAATTATTCTGTTAAATTTCAACAAGAGTTTCTAGAGGATTGCTCTGTTTTGCATGTATTTCTTTACTGTCTGGCCACTGTCTCTGTAAGCTCTGCACCACACTCTGCTTCTGGGCAGATCCTCCTTAGGACTCCTGGAGTGGGAAGAGGGGAACTGTCAGTCAGCCCTACATGGCTTTGCTAACATTTCTTGCAAAGGTGTGATGAGAAGTAGAACCAGGTGCTTTCATGAAGGGCGAGATGACACATGGATTCGTCAGAGCAATCAGTTCAGTTCAGTTTAGTCACTCAGTCGTGTCCAACTCTTTGCAACCCCATGGACTGTAGTATGCCAGGCTTCCCTGTGCATCACCAACTCCCAGAGCTTACTCAGACTCATGTCCACCAAGTCGGTGATGCCTTCCAACAATATCATCCTCTGTTGTCCCCTTCTGCTCCCTTCAATCTTTCCCAGCATCAGGGTCTTTTCAAATGAGTCAGTTCTTTGCATCAGATGGCCAAAGTATTGGAGTTTCAACGTCAGCATCAGTCCTTCCAATGAATATTCAGGACTGATTTCCCTTAGGATGGACTTGTTGGATCTCCTTGCAGTTCAAGGGACTCTCAAGAGTCTTCTTCAACACCACAGTTCAAAAGCATCAGTTCTTCAGCACTCAGCTTTCTTTATAGTCCAACTCTCACATTCACACATGACTACTGGAAAAACCATAGCTCTGACTAGATGGACCTTTGTTGGCAAAGTAATGTCTCTGCTTTTTAATATGCTGTCTAGGTTGGTCATAACTTTCCTTCCAAGGAGCAAGCATCTTTTAATTTCATGGCTGAAGTCATCATCTGCAGTGATTTTGGAGTCCAAAATTATAAAGTCTGTCACTGTTTCCATTGTTTCCCCATCCATTTCCCATAAAGTGATGGGACCAGATGCCGTGATCTTAGTTTTCTGAAATGTTGAGTTTTAAGCCAACTTTTTCACTCTCCTCTTTTACTTTCATCAAGAGGCTTTTTAGTTCCTCTTCACTTTCTGCCATAAGGGTGGTGTCATCTGCATATTTAAGGTTATTGATATTTCTCCCAGCAATCTTCATTCCAGCTTGTGCTTCATCCAACCCAGCATTTTGCATGATGTACTCTGCATATAAGTTAAATAAGCAGGGTGACAATATACACCTTTGACATTCTCCTTTCCCAATTTGGAACCAGTGTGTTGTTCCATGTCCAGTTCTAACTGTTGCCTCTTGACCTGCATACAGATTTCTCAAGAGGCAGGTCAGGTGGTCTGGTATTCTCATCTCTTTAAGAATTTTCCACGGTTTGTCAGAACAATAGGTAGCAATTATTCACTGGGTTTAAGATATCAACACCTTGATTTCTAATGTTCTTAGATGTAAAGCAAGAGTGAGAAGAAGTAGAAGGAAGTCAGGGCTGTGGTCACATAAGTTCTAAGATGAAGGACTGGGCAGAGCCCATCAGCTCCTTCCTTTTAGATCCCTCAGTTTGCAGTATTTTCCCCTCTGTGCTGAGCAAGTTCAAGTTCCCCCTCTTCCTCAGATGCTACCTCTCCTGAGCACCATGTAATGGCTCTCATGCCCATTTTACAGATGGCTGTGGTGGGGCGCGTGATTCCCACGTGGCTCAGTGGGAAAAGATCTGCCTGCCATGCAGGAGACACATGAAATGTGGGTTCAATCACTGGATACGAAGATCCCCTGGAGGAGGGCATGGCAACCCACTCCAATATTCTTGCCTGGAGAATGCCATGGACAGAGGAGCCTGGTGGGTTACAGTTGATGGGGTTGCAAAGAGTTCAACACATGACTGAAGTGACTAAGCACGCACACACACTTGGTAGGGCCCAGAAGGGCCAACCAGTCACTAGAAAGATTTTCGGGCACACGGTGTCCGGACCAGTCTTCTCACTTAGTATTTAGTGATGAGTGGGGTGTTTTCCAGATGTGTTTTTACCCGGAACCTCTCCCTGGAAGAGAGCTTTCCTTGGGACTCTGGTGGGCCTGCTGCTCCTTCTGGCTTTCCTCATGATGCTGGTGTTGCACTTCTTTCAGAAGCAACAGAAGTCCCAAGGTACCAGGCAGTCAGGGGGCTGCCCTCCTGGAACTGGCTTTGCCCAGGAAAAAGGTGGTGGAGGCGGCCATGGTGGTGGGGCGGGGAAGGCCACTGCTGAGGGGCCATCTTGCCTGGAGGCCGGGCTGGAATGGGACTCGGAAAACAGGCAGAGGAGCACACACACTGACCTCTACTCCCCTTTTTTCTTCCTTTCAGAAAAGCTGAAGAAGCAGGTAGAGAAAGACAAAGGTAAGCAGGAGGAAAGACGAGCTTTTCACCCACATCTCTGACTAACAGAAGTGGGGGCACTGGGTCAAGAAGACAAGTAGGTCACAGGGGGTTTGGGGAGTTTGGGAGAGGGCAGAGAAGGATTGAGGCACAGGTTTATTTTCATTTCTCTTGCCTTTGAGCCTGTTCCTCCCCCGTGTTCAGCTCAAACTGGCTCTCCAGAGCATGTGGGTTCCAAGTCTGTGCACTTTGGAGAAGCAAGCCCTCAGTGATGAATGGCAATTTTTCTCTATTCTTTGTTTCTTTCTCCAGGGAAACTCACAGTGGAGCTGGGTAAGTTCTGGGTGCCATGCCCATTGTGCTGGCTGTGGGCTAGGGGGGTAACTCATGGCAGAAGCAGGGGTTCAGTGATTTTAGGCCCCCTTTGGAGAGCACTGAATCACAGTGATCTAATTCTATATCCAGCCCTCTGCACATCCTGCCTTTCCCCTCCCAAATGGATGTGTGCACACCTGCCAAGGAAGTATGACTTAAGATTTTCTGGATAGATTTTGCCAGGCCCTCTCCTGCAAATTATATGATTCAGTTACAGTTCCACAGTTAAAGGTCTCCTCCTTTTGGTTCATCTTCCTAGGATAGCCTTCTCTTTTTAAAGCAAATGTCACCGAGAAAGAAGGCATCTGTAATTTACCAAAGTGAAAGTAATTTATCAAATCCACTTTTCTCCCCTGGGGGATTCAGCACCTTGAAACCATGTTGGGGGAGGAGGAAAGAGTGAATTCAAAGGATGAGGGGATGGAGGAGAAGGCCACAATGGGTAGGGGAAGACCTTGAGAACCACTTTGTCTGCCCCAGGAAAACACCAGACAAAATAGTGAAGTAGAAGCTTGTCTTGCAGTCTACCTAGTCATGCAGGGGAAAACAAACAAAATGCAATTAACCAAACAACAACAAAACAGCATGATAAGTCATTAACACCATGGTCTGAATTAATGTATATTATTGCATTTCCTAGTCTTAACTTTTAAAAGATGGCATAGAGTAGAGAATTCAGAGGAATGCATTTCTGGTGGCAAAATATCAGAGTCTTGGTATCTGGCCAGGGGAAATAATTGAGTGTGATACCCACCCAGTTTCTTAAATAATGTAACCAGTAAGTGACCTTGAGGTTCATGCAGGAGGGGCCCAGTGCTTGAACTTACACAGAACTTCCTCCCTAGGAAAAGCTTGCAGTTTCAGAGCAAATGTTTTCCCTTCCCAGCCCTGTGCAGATTTCTGCCGTAGAGCAAAGAATAGGATGAGAAGTAAGAATCTTGCAGATGGGTGATGCAGCACCTAAAACAGGATTGGAATGAGTAGTAGTTTAAGACTATAAAACCTTGTCTCTGTGACCTAACTGCCTCGCGAAGGTGGTTTCACTCATCCAAAGGCTGATATTTTCTCTGTGGGTTCTGCTTACAGGGAAGCTTCAGGTAGAGCTGGGTAAGTGACTCTCCTCCACCCAGAACTATTTCTTCTTGTCTACCTTGTAGCATCTGGTTATCTGTGAATGTTCTTCTGATCTCCCAAGCAGGTATGATGGCCAGATTGGAACTCTGCTGGCTGTGTGGGTGGCAGGAGAAAGGGGAGTGGAGCAGGGGTGGGTGCAAAATTTGATGTGTGAATAAGGAGGCTGAAGGGACTTTGTTCTAATTCTGCTTTTCCTTGGCTACTTCAGACTGGAGAAGGGCTGAAGGCCAGGCTGGTGAGTGAAGCCTATGTTTCTCCCACTGTACACTTTATATCTCAGCATCCTAGTCACCTGCTCTAACCAACTATGCTTCATTCTGATTTATGCCATTGCTACACACATGTATTAATCTATGTCACTCGGAATAGGTTATATTTGACTTTGATTTTTATATTTATTTTTACATTGTTCTGAGGTGTAAGCATACAGTAAATCATTGGTGCCAATCCTGGTTGCACATCAGAATCACCTAGATTCCTGGTGCTTGCCCTGAAAGACTCTCACCTGTGGTTCTGGAATGGGCGTGTTACCTTACATGTAAATATTTGTCCCTGTACCTTCTTCCATTTCCCCAGTAAAGCAACCACTAATGTGCATCTCTATTTTGTATGTATTCTTGCAAGAGGAGGAATTTCTGTTTTGTGTGCATACACTGTAGTTACTGTAGAGGTATTTACGGTCTCATGCTGTTCCTTGCTTTTCTCACTCATCACTGTGCTTTAATATCCATCCCTGCTGCCACATGTAAATCTAATCTGTATCTCCTTGCTGCAGAACACTCCATTTCAGTCAGCCACCATCCTGGAGTAGACATCCAGCCTTCTTCTAACTCCATATCATTACAGACCACTAGTGCTGAATAAGTTGTCTTCTGTGTGGAGATTACTCTAAGAGGAGAAGTGCTGGCCCACTAGGGATGTCTCACTAAGTGGGATAGAGGGATTCCTGAAAGTAGCACCATCATCCCATGCCAGCAGGGCATGGAAGCTCCATGAGCCCACATCTTGTGTGAGCCAGCTTTCTAAGCTTGCCAGTCAATGGAGATGAGTAATTATTCTTTGAGTTTGTACTCATCTGAGCACTAAGAAATCTGAGCATCTCTTTATATGCTAGCTGGCTTTTGGGCTTCCTCTTCTGGAAATTGCCAGTTCATGTCCTTTGCCTATTTTCCATATGTTGTTGCTATCTTTTTCTTGTTGATTCACAGGACAGGGCTGGTGTCAGTGCTGGGGAATGGAGCCTTTTGGCTTGCAGGCATCCTTCATGCAATATTATTATTATTATATAATATATATGATAGTAATCTCTCATTGTTATTACACATTGTGAATTCCTTCTTCTCTTCTGTCATCTGCTATTAGCTTTGTCCAATGGTGCCCCTTATTGAAAAGAATTAGTTCTGATGAAATATAATTTATCACACTTTTACTTTATGGTTTGTGTCTTTGAACTTTTGTTGAAGATCTTCTTCACATTTAGGTCATAAATCTAGTCTCCTACATTTTCTTCTACTCACTTTATATGTTATGTATAAGTTTTCTTATCCATCTAAAATTCACCTTTTTTATGTGGTGTTAGATAAGAATCCAGTAATTTTTCTCATATAAAGAGTTAGCTTTCCCAGTGCCACTTACTACACATATTTGTGACTTACCCATTGATGTGGACATCACCTTTAGTGCATATTCAGTTGCCATGTCTTGATGGGTCTGCCTCTTGGTAACCTATTACCTTGGCTTTTAAAGTACCTGAAAGTACAAGTTCTCCTCCATTTCCCTTTCCTTTTTAAAGTTCACAGACTCTTTTAAAATATAAATTTTAGGATAAATTTATGAAGTTCCCCCAAATATCCAAAAGTAGTTTTAGCTGGGGTTGGTTTGAATTTACAGCTAAATTTAGGGACGATTGAAATCTGTATAGATTTGAGTTATTCTATGCAAGAGTTCTAGATTTGTGAAGTTCTACTGGTTATTCTGATGCAAAATCAGGGTTGAAAGGCCCTGCTATAAATTTACGGAGCTCTGAAAATGTCTTCTACTGCTTCTGCATTTTGTGACTTTGGTGCTCTTTTCTTTTTTTTTTTTTTCATTTATTTTTATTAGTTGGAGACTAATTACTTTACAATATTGTAGTCGTTTTTGTCATACATTGACATGAATTAGCCATGGATTTACATGTATTCCCCATCCCGATCCCCCCCTCCCACCTCCCCCTCCACCCAATCCCTCTGGGTCTTCCCAGTGCACCAGGTCCGAGCACTTGTCTCATGCATCCAACCTGGGCTGGTGATCTGTTTCACCCTAGATAATATACATGTTTCAATGCTGTTCTCTTGTAACATCCCACCCTCGCCTTCTCCCACAGAGTCCAAAAGTCTGTTCTATACATCTGTGTCTCTTTTTCTGTTTTGCATATAGGGTTATCGTTATTTGGTGCTCTTTTCTGTAATATAGGATGAGATAAAACAAAACAGAAACCCACACAGAATAGCTCCCAGTAAGAAAGAGAGCAAAGTCAGGGTGTCCAGAGGATGTCTTAGGACAGGAGCTGAGCTCAGCTGGGCCTCGTGGGGACTAAGCCAGTCAGAAATGGAGGCTTTGTTTCCATTCTTCAAGGCATCCAAATTGCCTGTATTGGTTCTCTTTGCTCACATACTCTGTCATCCCACTATCCAGCACCACCTCAACCTGCACACAGCTTTGGCATAAGCCAGCACTGGCACCAGCCTCCCTACCCAATCCCAAATTCCTGGGAAGATGCCATGGTGGACCCAGGCTAGTCTGGGTCCAAAAAAGTTTTCCTGGTGGAAATGAGATTATTCCATTTACAGGCATCCTTCCTGCATCCTGAGGCTCCCTTAAGGTTCCAGAGTTACTGACTCAGATCTCTGAGCCTCTTTTTCTCTGTTTGGTTTCAGAGTGGAGAGCAGCTCAACGACATGCAGGTAACTGAAGCCAAGGAACTGTATCTTGTGACTTAGGTTGGCTGCATCTTAATCAGAAGGGAGGTATCCAGAACTGAGATTAGAGGAAGGGTCTGTCCAGGAGCCATGTATGGAGCCTGCATACAAACTCACAAGCTCACTTGCACACACACACAACGTGACACATATGCCTGCACACATACATGCTCATATGCACAAATGAGATTGCACTCACACATGCACACATTTGTGTGCACTCTGATGCTCCCACATGCATATAACTTTCTGGGTTTTACTAGATTTGTTTCCATCTGGCAGAACTTCCCACATTATCTGACAAGAGGGATCCTTGGGGTCCCTGTCCATCAAATGAGTGTGATTTGGGGGGGGGGGTAATGGGTTGCTGGAGTGCAGGGTACTGAACTAGATGATCTCAGGGGTCCCCTTCAGTTTTAAAATCCTAACGTGGCATACAACAGAGGCCCAGAGCTCACCAGTGATCTCAAGGTCATACTGAGTGATGAGAGCAGCCAGGAAGAACCAGTCCTAAGCTCCTTCCTATTGACTGTGCGTGTGTGCTAGGTCACTGCAGTCGTGTAGGACTCTTTGCCACCCTATGGGCTGTAGCCGGCCAGATTCCTCTGCCCATGGGATTCTCCAGGCGAGAATACTGGAGTGGGTTGCCATGCCCCCCTCCAGGGGATCTTCCCGACGCAGGAATCAACACCTCTTGCTTATGTCTTGGGCATTGGCAGACGGGTTCTTTACCACTAACGCTACCTGGGGAGCCCTCTTGCGGTCCAGGTCTTGGGAAAAGTGAGCCCGCCTCCATCCCCACAAATCTCCCTCATTTGCTCTCTATGCTCTGTATGGCACCATGGAATTCAAGAGCCTTCCGGTTCAGGAAGGAAATGAATTCCTCTTATCACTTTCAAAAGCTAGAGAGTGACTTCCGTGCCTCTTCAGTCCCAGGGTGGTAGGAGGAGGGGCTTCAGGAGAGGGGTGACTATTCCACCGATTTCTCCTTCGGGAGGACTAGAGGTTTGCCTAGCAGAGGAGGGGACAGGGATGTGGATGGGGGCAGAATCGGGCAGGCACTGACCCTGTGCCTTTGCGCAGTGGATGTGACCCTGGATCCCGGCTCCGCCCACCCCAGCCTGGAGGTTTCCAAGGATGGCAAAAGCGTGTCCTCACGCAGGACGGCGCCAGGCTCAGCGGTGGCCGACCCTCAGTGGTTCTCTGAGCAGACGTGCGTCCTGAGCCGGGAGCGCTTCTCCACTGGCCGCCACTACTGGGAGGTGCACGTGGGCCGCCGCAGCCGCTGGTTCCTCGGTGTGTGTCTGGCCGTGGTGCCGAGTGCAGGGCATGCTCGCATGAGCCCGGCGACTGGCTACTGGGTGATGGGGCTGTGGAACAGCTGTGAGTACTTCGTCCTAGACCAGCACCGCCTCCCGCTCAGCCTGCGCGTTCCGCCCCGCTGCGTGGGCATCTTTCTGGATGTTGAGGCTGGAAAGCTGTCCTTCTTCAACGTGTCCGACGGCTCCCACATTTTCACCTTCACTGACACCTTCTCGGGGATGCTCTGCGCGTATTTCAGGCCTAGAGCCCACGATGGCAGCGAACACCCAGATCCGCTCACCATCTGCCCATTACCAGTTGGTGAGAAATGCGTTCTCGAAGAGGAGGACAGTGACGCCTGGTTTCAACCCTCTGAGTCCTCGAACCCTGCCCTGGGCCTGTGGTGAAGTGCTTTTGTGGCCACTGGACTGGGTCCTGGGCGGCTTCCTGGATACCCAGCTGGCGCTATGCTCTCCTGCTTCCTGTAAAGCCAACAGACACACTCACCCCACTGTCTGCTCCAGAATGTCGGCAAAAGCTTAGAGGCAGAAAGGGGGCAAAGAGAGACCTTTGCCTATGTAGATGTGAATGTGTACATGTATGAATATGATTTTCTCTTTTTTTTTTTTTAAAGAAAGACACTTCCAAAGCTTATGTGTGTATGTTGTAGGATTGAGCAGATGAGTAAACATATGTTCAAGTTGCTAGGAGTCAGTGTTCACTGTGAAGACATGAAAGAAACTGGAATGGGGGGGGGGAGAGGAGATAATTTATCAGATAAGATTAGGGGTGTCAGTTAATTTCTGTATTTTAATATTTTTGTAAGTATTTTCTAGCTCTAGAAAGGTCTGGAAGCAATGACACTTCATAAGCAAAAAGTTCACCTTAGGCTCAGATGCTAGTTCTCACTGCCAATTAGCACCAAAATAAACCTGGAGATGTGGTGAAAGTAGGGAACATCTTTTGCTTTTATGTACAAGAATGCTCGAAAACGGATGGGGACATAGCAAAAAGACATTGGAGCTAGGTGAAAGGGGTACCATTGACCAGTTATAGGACAATTTGAACATTAAAATGAATAATGACAAGAATTGCCCAACAAGAGGTCAATTCACTAAGTGTGCTGAGAGGTTTCTTTAGCCAGAGACAAGAGATACAAAAAGAAAAAAAACCCCACAAAACAAACAACAAAATATAAAAACATAAAACAAGACATAAGGGAAAGGAGAGAATGAAAGAATAATTGTGAACTCGAGGGTTTTACTATGTAATAGGTGCATATTGTTGATAAATAGACAGATGTGATATAGTTTGTAACTCTGTCTACACTGAGGGCTTAAAAACGATAATACCCCTGTACCAATGAGCACATCTAGCACTGAGATCTTAGTTTTTAGTTACTATTTACTACTGAAAGGAACCAAGGCTCCTTGGAGAAATGGTGGACTTCAGGGCTGGGGCAGGGGAAATACATGGTGAGATTCTGATCTATACTAGGAAATATTTATTTTGTTTTTGACCTAGATTTTAGAACAGAGCTCTTAAACCGTTGAAATTTTCTAAAATATAAGAGTCATGAAGATGTCTTTGGATATTCATAACAAGCCCTTTTACCCACACCTGAGTTTATATTACTGAGATAATTTTTAGAAAGCCAGTAAGGATGGGGCTGGTTGCCATGGGAACCAACTATGTGACCAGAGGGTTGTAACTTAGCCCTACCCTACCCACCTACCTCAAAGAGGGAGAAGGGGCTGGAGATTGAGTTTAATCACCAAGGGCCAATGATTTAACCAGTCATGCCTCTGTGATGAAACCTTTCCATAAAACCCCAATAGGACTCGGTTTAGAGAGCTTTCAGGTTGGTGAACACTGTAGATGCAGGGAGAGAGTTGCTCAGAGAGATCAAAGAAGAAGCTCTGTACCGCTCCCACATACCTTGTTCTATGCATCTATTCTACCTGGTTCCTGAGCTATATCACTTTATAATAAACCTGTAATCTTGTTAGCAAACTTCCTGACTTCTGTGAGCTGCTCTGGTAAATTAATGGAACTCAAGGTAGGGATTTTGGGAATCTCCAACTTATAGTGAGTGGGTCAGAAGCACAGGCAACCTGGATTTGTAATTGGTATTGAAAGAGAGAGGGAAGTCTTGTAGGACTGAGCCCTTAACCTGTGGGATCTGACCCTATCTCTCGGGCTTCCCAGGTGGTGCTAGTAATAAAAAACCTGTCTGTCAATGCAGGATTGGCAATGCAGTGAGAGATGTGGATTCAATCCCTGGGTTGGGAAGATTCCCTGGAGGAGGGCGTGGCAACCCACTCCAGTATTCTTGCCTGGAGAATCCCATGGACAGAGGAACCTGGTGGGCTACAGTCTATACGGTCAGAAAGAGTTGGACATGACTGGAACGACTTTGCATGCACACGCTAGGTAGATAGTGCCAGAATTGAGTTAATGGATTAAGGGTGTTGAAATAAACATGTAGCAAAATGAGTCTAAACTATCTTTTACCAGAATGCAAGAAGTCCTCAAAGAATAGTGGGGGAAATGTCAACTGGACAGAAAAGCCAGTTTGAAGGGACTCCCATTAGCCAAATTTGAACATCAAAGTAATTAATGGGAGTTATAGATCGAGAAAAAAGGAATCCAAGCATATGTGTATCTTTACTGATATACATAAATAAAGGAACAAATAAATGGGGGAGAAGAGAAAGTTTTACCAAATCACCCCCATCTCCTTCCAGTCTATGCCCAGTGACCCTCTGTCAAGTTTCTAAAGGTAGGACCTGGTACATTCAGTTCTCCCCTGAACTGTTCACATTTTCCATGCAGCTGTTCCTCAAACTGGGGAAAGGATGAAAACAACACTGATGTATGGGTCCCAATCCAGTGTATGAAGCACACCTGTGATGTGAGGCTCACCCTACCGAGGTGGCCTTTGTGGTGGTTAACTCACAGACTGACGGCAACATGCAAGTCATCCTTGTCTCCACAGGAATCTTTCATGGAAAGACAAAGGTTCCCACGGATCTGGCACAATTTTGGTGGGCTTATATATTGGTACAGCTACTTTGAGGTCAACTTTGGTAACATCAACCAATGTGGAAGACACCACACCTCTGTCCTCCACACCACTCACATCTCCCCTCAGCCAGGCCTCAGTGATGCAGGAGGTGGGACCAGGAATTCTGCGTGGCTTTGGGCAAGCAGTGAATCTGCCTGGAACTCAGTTTTCCCAGCTATAAAATGGGGCCAGTCGTCATGCTCTGCTGTCCCCGTAGGACTGCTGAGAGGCTCTGAGGGGGCCAGTGTGAATCCATGTAGAGGAGAGGGGTGCTGGGAGGTGGTGTCACAGTTTACCTCCCACACAAGACACTGCGGCCCTCGCTGGGCCCCCTTCCTTGAGCTGCCCTCACCTGAACTTCCATATTCATTAAACATGGTGTCATTACATGAAAAAAAATAATTTCTAAACATGAACGTCCTCTGACAAGCAGTTCCACATCCAGGAATCTGTTCTACAGAAATATTCACACCTAATGAGGCAAGAGGATGCTCGCTGTGGCAGTGAAAACAGAGGTTTGGAACCGTGTACTTGCTACTAGGAGAACGTATAAATATGGCTTATTAATACTGTGGGGTACCACGGTGCTATAAATTTTTATGGTGCACATATATCTTTACAGGGAGCATATACTGCTTCTGTAATTTAAAAAAAGTTGATGAGTCTTTTCCTTCTGCCTCATCTCAATTGGCAAAAAATCACAAGAAGATATTTTTTAAATGTACAATTGAATCCATCTGGTTGAAGTGTCAACACCATGGGGGTACATGACATGTTGTCATGTCTGTTTACAGTTTTCAAATCACTGCCTTTGATATCCTCTATGAAATCCTTCCTTATTGTTCCTCAGTAGCATCTTGAACAGAGCCCATCATATTCATTCAGGTTTGATTATACTGTGCAGTTCGCAAACTCTGACCTTGTATCCAATTCTGACCCCAGCAGGTTGGGGGCCTAATGTGGGGAGGGGGTCATTCTGCCTCGGAAACTTCCTATCGCTCCACTCTCACAGGCTCCTGCCACAGTGTTGAGGCAAGAAGAGGAGACAAGAGAAATGGTGCAGCCATAACCTTCCTGAATCCACCCTATTCCTCAGTTCCCCCAGCTCTGGCTGAGCTCCTAATCCCTGCTCCATCCTGTTCATGCCAGGACAGCCCAATACTCCTTTGATTCTGGATCCCTTCACTTGGCAGACAGCACGCTTAGGAAGGATGCAGTAAAGTGACTTAATTTTGGCTAGCTTCCCAGATGTTCTTTTGACCCATAGTAAATTCATATGTGTGTGCATATTGAGTGCAGACTGGGCATGCTCTCTTCAGGGACCACATCTCCCTGTTTCCTCTTCCTCTGGGTGGATCAAACAAGATGCTATCCTCTCAAACAAGATACTAAGCTCTTCTTGCAGTCATCACCGAAAATTGCATGATTCTTTGAGGGTTAGATGAGGGGAGTGGCAAGTACTTCCACCAGAGAGGGTTATTGCCTCTCACTATATGCTTTCAAACACCCAAAACCTTGATGACTCCCTCCCCAGTTTCCTTCCCATCCTCTATTCCCCAAAGGAAATGATCTCTTTTAACCTATAAATAAATAAATAAATAACTTATCTCATACATTTCTTTTATTTACAGTTTATTGTCAATATGCGTTAGTTATATAAAGTAAGAAATTATGAATAATCAAAGTATAATTATGCAGATTAAAAATAGATATTCAACACAAAAAAATACAACCATAAAAGCAGGTTAACTCATGCACACATAGCAGCATAGATGCAACAGATATTTCAATGGACAGCAAGTGTTTGCTTTTTCATTTGAAGATGGTGGCTATATCATACACTAGAATGCCTCAGTTTATCAGTGCCTGAGAGTCAAAATTCATTTATAAAAATGTTTTTCACATTGACACTGTTGTAAAAGATATGTTTTCCAGAATTAAGCCTCCTCTCAGGCTTCTTACCAGTTTCTAACACCTAAAAACTGATACAGAAAGTATTATAAATGTAACTACGCTGATTCTTAAAGGTTAAAAAAGTATCTCTCAAAATAATTTAAAAGAATTATTGCAAACAGTAATGCTGATGCTCTCCCAGACTTACTCCAGCATGAGCATCTCTGGTTCTACTTCTGCAGGCTTCGTCACACTGCCATCACTCTGCTTGCTTCCTTCCCTGGTTCTTCTACTGGTAGCTCCACCCTGGCTCCAGGCAGCTTCGTATCTTCTAACGGTGTCTGCTCCCAAAGTCTTGATCTGAAGCTCAGTCCCACATGGGCCAAGACTCAGGACACTCCCAACACTGATGAGGCTTGGGGGGCTCCTCCTCCAGCCAACAGACCC